TCCTTTCGGTCTGGGAGTCTCGGAGCAATTGCCGGGACACTCGCCGGACACAAGAAGTACAAATCCTTTCATGCACAAAACCCGATCATCCCAAAGAAGGTTCCAGGGTCTGATGACCACAAGCTGGGGCACCAGTCAGTCCGTTCAACATCTCCTTTGATGAAACCAAAACTGAAACATGCCTTCAGTGAGCAAAAACACTTGTCAAACGTTTGGACAGGATTCCGCCACTTGCCACGTCTTAAGAAAACAGATCTTGAGTCTTGAGAGTACTCCAGGGTGAAGATGAATGGCACCCAGCTCCAATGCATCGGATTCTTCTGGGGCCTTCGGGACCTGCCAGTTGCAACCATCTAGTTTTCACCTGCCAACAGAAGCTCTGCACCCATCCCTTTGCAATTTAGAAGCTTTGCGCCCGCGCGTCGACCAGCACAGGCGGGACATGAGGCGGCTGGAAGCCCCACGGTGAAGAAAGGAGAGGTGGACTGCTCAACTCAAATTTCTTCCAATCAGATCGTGGAAGGCGACCTTGCGAGCGAGCTCTTAGCGTCTGACGGGAATCCATCCGTGGCACACCACTTCAAATGGCTTCACCCTAGAAGCCCTAGCAATTTGCAGCTTGCAATGGTTCGGCATGATTCGATGGATGTTTTCTTGGTCCTAGCTTGCTGTTGTCTCCGCATAGTCTTTGATTCGTCTTCTTGAGGCTCACTTCGCTTGGGCAGCCTCGGTTGGGTTGGCTGCCTGGGGTTCTCGTTGGGGTCGCCGAATACGGGCCGACCGCTGAAGCCAAATCCGGAGCGCGCGCGGCCCGTGTCGCGTTCGGAACCGCAGCGCCGAGCATTCGGAACCGCCACCAACACCGCCATCAGCAGTGGACAGAGGACGGATACACCGGAAGGACCGGAGAGAGGAAAGCCAATTCTTGCGGTGTTTCTGGTCACGAAGCTTCCTTGAGCTGGTGTTCTGGTGTGGGGACCCTCCAGTTGCGTTGGCTTAAGGAACAAAAAACATCCAAAAGATTCCTCCAGAAGAAGGAGATTTACTCACAGGAAAAGAACCTTAAGCAAAACCAGGGAGGTTCTGATAATCCTGAGTGCTTTATCTGTGCCCCCAAGCTTGGATGGGTTCAATGATTTTGCTCGGCCACCGGGACTCTAAGGGGGGTAGCCCAGTGACTTCCTTTTCCAGAAGGACAGGGACAGCAGTCGGGGTGTGTAAGTGCATGGAAATCAGTCACCCACACAGTTTCTGAGCCGCTGGTCATGGGAGCGGGGTGCGCTTCTGTCGTGGCACGGCGGTCAAGCAAAATCAACCTGCTAGTCAAGGAAACGCACCCAGAAAGACCCTGGCACCAAGAACACCTGGTACAGAACAGCTGGGAAGGCTCCCAACCTCCTCTCCCTGAACATCTCACACTCGCTGCTCACGGGTCGGTCCCCATTCACTCTCAAGTTTCACCGGGCTCGGCTCCAGCAGTAGCGCGGGAACTCGTGGGAAGTGCCGGCTGGGGGCAGATGGGGCGGAAGACAGGCAGGGCTGCCCCATCAGCCCAGACGGCAGCTTCACAGCTACAGTAGCAGAGGGCGGGTGCCCTCACCGCCCTCCAGACGCATGAGCATGAGCTTGCAGGAACAGTGTCAAAAGAGCGTGAAGGTCTAAAGTCTGAAAGGATTCTAAAGGACGTAGCTTTCAGGAACGAGGGGATGGATGAATTGCCAACATGTGCTGGGCCATGTCCTGCCCCACATCTCCTAAAGCTACAACCCTCAACGCTTGCACTATTTTAAAGTGGTTTGTTCTTCAGGCCGGCTTAGTCTCAGGGAGACATGCTGGCAAGCTGAATGTACAGTGACGGCTTCCCACAAATATTGCCCCCACATAACCCCTCCCTGTGCATCCTTGTTTGATGTGTGATGATAAATACCTCTCAGTCGTACATCAAGGACGCCCAACTGTAAGAAATCAAGTGCCACCATGAAGTTCCTAACTTGCTTCTGGACCTCTCCAGATGAAGAACATGTTTTACTTGATTTTGCCCGTCGGCTAAAACCTGCAAGCCATCTCTATGACTCAGGCTTCGAGCAGGGTCCCCCTTTCCTGGAACTGCCATGACTTTCTTGAAAATGCAGCAACATCATGTCCTCTCATTTCCTCGCTCTAGGGTTTCCATAGGATTCGAGGGGCACCCTTCTGTGCGGAAACTGCGCGGCCACACACGCAGCGGCCGCGTTAAACAGTTCAGCATGGACCCTGGCGATGGCTGGATGACTTCGAGTGGCGCTCACTTGGAGATACAAACAGGTGTAAACCTCTGATATATTCTGATACTAACAATATACTGCTACGCAAATTTCCACCATGGATCTTGATGAAAATTCCACCGGGAAAATGGACAAGGCATATATATATATATATATACCCCTTCTATGTGTACAAGTCACAAAGGCCCAAGAATGTCGACAGTGGTCGGCCTGGGTACCTCTTCCATGTACTTCTTGATTCTACCTGGGCACCTGGGCATCCACCGACCGGTGCGCCCTCAACTTTAGATCTCCCAGAGGTTCCCACCCCCCAAGGGTTGATACCGCACAGATACAATGTATCTCCTACCACGCCTGTCTCAAACCCCGATCCCATTGTACCTGGGTCCGTCCTACCAACTGATGCGGGAGGTCCCTTCCCACAACAGGAAGCATGAACATCTCGCGCAATCTTAGCCGTCCAAACCCCGCGCCGCGTGCACACTCGCACGCAGCGCACGCAGGCAGCGTGCTAGGGCCGCTAGGGCTTGGCACACAATTTCAAGCGCCAACTCAGCTCCCAATTCCTGAACACCTTAACTCCCTTAAGACGGGCCTATAGGTTCTATAGAGAGCGACCAAGCTCCAGCATCAGCCACTGCGAGTCCCGGAAAACGCCTCCAGGCACGGATTGAACGGGGCACTTCTGACCCCGATCGCCCTCCAGACCTTCTGATTCCGACTGGTCGCAGTTCTGTGCTGATGAGTTCGTTTGAACGGGTTGCCCATCTGGGTAAAAGTTGAATATGCACAAAAGAACTGTCTGAACATGTCTGAACCATTCTGAGACCCAAGCCATTCCCTGTTAAATTATTTTACTATATGTTTTATTCATACTCTTGTCCTTGTCTTGTATTCCTAATGAATACGCGAGTGCGCCAATGCTCCGTGGGAGTTGAACCACCGCCGCGTTTGAAAAACATCTCCCCTTTCTCTGATCACCTTTTGAATGGACCCGCCCCGATGCCACTTACTGCTTCCACTCCGAAAGGATCCGAAAGGTGATGCGTGACATGCCTGGGCTCTCCACAACCCTACCCCCCGTGTTGAAGGCTTTAAACATGGTCGACAATGGCAAACATCATGAGATACACATACAAACCCTGTTGGGGTTCCATTTCCGGTTGGGTCACCCACTCATAAGCGAACCCATCTCAAAGAGAAAACACCTGCCAAAAAACAGAACATTCCCAAAAGGTACTATGTTCCACGATGTCCGATGACAAAAACAAAGCCCTGTCCACGTGACCACAGGTTGGTATATAAACGAATATAAATGACACAAAGTGAAACACGGTGAGATGCAGCGCACATGAGGGTGGAAAAAAAAAGTTACTAGCAACAAACCTTGGCTTTTCTGATGCACAAGCTTCTGTCACTGCATGAATCAACACAAAGCAGCAACCGAGCAGCAATTGTTTGGCTGCTGCCACATCCATCCATCACGTTCCACTCCACCAAGGGGTGGGTGCGTGGGTGGGGGACATTCAAAGGGCCACCAGCCCCCGTCTCTACCCAACCCAAACACCACTGCACATTCTAAGCGTATATGCTGTTAACCACCACCACCACCACCACCACAAAAAATGAAATATAAACAGGCCCAGTGAGCCCAGTGTTGTTGCAGGAGGCTTTGGGTGTCCCACTCACCCCCATGTGTCACGTGCTCACGAAGTCAAAGCCTGGAGCTTTGTGCCCTCAACTCCTTCCTTTCGCTCCTCTCACTTCGCTCCAATCGTTGCACCAGCCTGGGTTCACCGGAGCCAGCTCCGGCATCTTCGGTCATTCGGCAAGGAACCCCGGGTGAACCTCCAAGGGTGAACCTCCACTAGCACACATACTGGCCTAGCACCGCCAAAGAATAACGATGGATGCTCGCGAACAGCCCAGGCACCACGGGTGGAGGCCCGGAGAACAGCCAGAACATGAGTATATCTCCAGATAGTCACACGAAGTTTATAAGTAGATATCGGCTTTTACATGTGTGAGCAGCCAAGGTGCCCGTTTCTTTGTGAATGATGATGTCGAGGAAGAATTCCACGTGACGTGTGTACTGTACCTACCTACCTGCCTACCTACCTACCTCCATCCATGCATGCATGCATGCATGCATGCATTGAATTGCATTGCATTGATTACATTACATTACATTACATTAATACATACACATGTACATGTACATATATATATATACCTGGCCAAGAGTAGTGAGAAGCAGCTAAAAATGCTAAGAACATCTAAGAACATGCATTGCATAAGACACGTGCATACCTTGTGTATCCTTATGTGCCCTATGCATCCCTATGATAGCCCATCAAGTCTCCCCAAAGAAGCTTTCAGAGTTTGTGGAGAAACCTGCTGTGAAGTCCTATGGCCTTGTGCTGTGGATGCGACCGTAAGAGTGCAGCGGCGTGAACGTTTACAAAAAAATGTTTTGTCCCCCGGAAGGTTTGATGGTTTGATGGGGTTCCTGATGGTTCCTGTACAGGTGGGGCTATGTTCCCATTCCATGCGAGTCCGGTTGTCGCGTATGTTGCTTGTGCCCACAGGTCTTGATGCTGTCCAGAGCCATACCGTGAACCCCTGGCTGCGGGCACTCCAATTCAACCATTTGGGAAGGAGGTCGCCACCCATCCAAAACAGGCGAGCCAACGAGGCAAAGCAGAAAACTTTGATGTAGCTGTAGCCGCTACAGCCTTAGCCTAAGCCTACGCCCTTGGCTCGCATGATGCTCGCATGGCCCATAATTGCCGAAATCTCCTCTTTTCTTCTTTTGGTCGCCTTTTTCGAAAGAGAAAAGAGACCCGGACTTCCAAGCAGCTGTGAGTTCTCCTTCAGGTGTAAACGGTGCCGTTCTCCAGGACGTCCAGGGCAGTCGGGGTGCTCCTGTGGACCGAAAACGTCCGCTGGGGCCGGCGGCACCTGGACCCCCTGGACGACCGTGGTTTCGAACGGTTCATCGACCACTGAAGAAGTCATGGGGATTTCAGTGGGAGCGTCCCCAATCTGCCAAGCTTGAAGCTCCGGTGAGGCTCCGGTGCAGGTGATCCCCCCACGTTCCGCAGAGGCCAAAAGACCTGGTGAAGCCACCTGGGCAGCCCTGGCAGAACGAGTTTGGTCATGTTTGGTCGAGTTCACGAGAACCGGCGTTGGCCCTCGACGTTTGGTCGCCCGCGTGCCTCGTCCCCCGGCAGCAGCAGGGCGTTGGGTAGCGGGGCTAGGGGCAAGGCTCGTGCAGACCAAAGGCAACTCTTCTTGGAAGCCCTGAGGCGAAGAAAGCAGCAAGAGTTCGGTCAAGCATGCGCCATCTAACATGAGTTGGTCCAGAGCTCGGTAGGACTCAGAGCTCTGAAAAACAAGCCCTCTCACCGGTGCCGGAATTCATTGGGAAAGCGACCGTGGAGGCGAAGCCCCGATCTTCCACCCCCCAGATGTTCCGCAGACTGAGGCTCTGGGAGGCTCCTCACCCACACCGGACCAGCCCGAGCGACCGCATGCGACCGCTGTTTTCAGCCCGAGCGACAGTTCCGGAAGCCCGTGGAACTGAGGCAGTTCGGAGCGGAGTTCGTGGAGCAAATACCTCGGAACGGGAGGCTGAGCAGGAGGCGGGCCGACGGGAGAACTTCGGTTGGCTCTGAAGAGGGCTGAAGAGGGCTGAAGGGTGATTGGGGTGTCGCTGGGCCACCGTTCGGGACGTTCGGGTGGCTTCGGAGTCGCCACTCCGCAGGGAGATCTGGGGCTTGTCGATATGTCCCAAGACCACCAAGGCACCGACTGAGTCATGGCGTCGAGCTCTTATACGAGTCACCCATAAATCCCATGGAAGTCCAAGTCTTGGATTGTTTTGGGTAAAATGTTTTGAGCTGCCTTCGTAGGGTGAAATGCCTCGTAAAACCAATGGTGGCTCGGGAAAAATACCATCAAATCATATCAAACTCTAAATTGATGTTTGTTAAGAAGCCTAGGGAATTGCGAGGCCCCCGAATTCGTCTCGAGGCCCACTCTGGGGTGGTTCGACCCAAGACTACCAAAGCTAGCTCGTATACAGCAGCTTTTCCGATCTATTCATCGGCCCAATGGCTGAAACGTCCAGAAACGGAGGAAAAACCCAAGCGCACATCCATCAGGTCTCCATGCGCCTGTGTCCGTTCTCCCCTGCCCTACCCATCTCAGCTCCGGACCACTCGGCCCAGGTGAGATCCAACTCCTCGGACCCAGCGGCTTGCTACGGCTCGGTGTCTCTTCAACGGGTGGAACGGGGGGGGGGGGTGGTAGGCAGGGCGGATGGTTCTGTGCCTCCCGGTTGGTTCAGAGGCTGTTGGCCTCTGTTCTTTGGGTGTTGCGAATGGTTTACCACCAAAAAAAGGGTGCGGAATCAGGCCTCCTGTACAGGGGCCTTGCAGGGTGCAAAGATTGGAACCCTTGATCTTGACCAGCACAAGAATTCACTTGAAGAATTTGAGGAGAAACAATTGCTCCGGCCACTGAATCTCCACCCTTGAGCTCCAGAGGATTTCGTGCTCAGCGGGTCCTTCTGGAGCCAACTCCTTTCCATCGCTGGTGCAGAATGCTGCTACCCAAGACCCACTGATTAATTGTCTAAAGATTGCTAGATGTTACGTACTAATTGTTAACATTTAAAACAGTTAGGATTATGACAGCACAGTGGCCAAACAAAGGCTGAAACTATCAACAAAAATTGAACTCAAAAAAAAAACATCAAATCGGACTCAAATCAGACTGAAAAACCTCAACAAATACTCAAGGAGGAAGGTGTTTTCTTGTCTTTCAGGCTTGCATTCGTGAGTTCTATGCCATTCTACACCAAAACTGGGCATGCTTACTTGTTTCTTGAGTCTTCCTGCATTGCTCCTTGTGTTTCTCGCGGGTCTAATCAGTCTAATCTGAGTCTTTCATTTGAGTTGGGCCTTCTCCCTTCTGTGCCCTTCCCTCCTTCCCTCTCCCCCTCCCGCTCACCCCGCGCTGTCACACCGTCACGCCGTACGACGTCCCGTCGCCCGCTTTTCTTCGACGGCGCCGCGTCGGCTTCGGCCTGGCGCTCGTAGAGCTGCAGCAGCCGCGTGGGCGACGCCCAGAAGCCCTGCGCCCAGGTGGCCTCGGCAGCATCCGGCACTGGTGCCAGGAAGATATGCCTCGGGCCGCGCGTCACGGGCGGTCAGAAGGGAGGAAGCTGGGGAGGGGCGGGTGAGTCTGGGGGCGAAGAAATGAACAAAGACCTGCAAGGCTTAGCCGCTTAGCAGCTCACTATATAATCAATGTTGGAGTAGGATTTAATGTGTTATCCACAAAATAACATGACCAGATTCCTCTCGTTGTTTGGCTTTTGCTTTGAATGGTCGCCTGGCACGAAGAAAGATCAGCATCAGGGTCCGGAAAGGTGGGGCGACCGGTGTGCTTCGTCAGGAGCGAACGGTGACGAAGCCGCAAGGTGAACAGGTGAAGATCGTGGAAGGATGCTCCGCAGCTAAGTGGACAAGGCCAGGTAGTGCAATGACTTTCAGTTCTATCCCTCCTTGTTGGACATCCAAGGCATGCCTTGTACTGACTTCGACTGGCAAAAGCTGATCACCTTGGCACGAACAGCTTCACATAGTCTTTCGGTCACTTCAATGGGCAATCGGAGAGAACACCTAGGGCTCCGTTCAGGGCCATGTCAACTCTTGATTGATCAATCCCCTCTCCGGATTGTAAACAAACCTCGTCATTGTCATCTTGAAGTCTTTATACACTCAAGAGAGTCTACATTACTCTCTGGCCACAAGGTCCCCATCTGCCCATCTATTTCTCTCCCAGGTGTTCACTCCCCGGCAATGCCCCAGCTCACCAGATCTCACCCCCACGAAGCGGGACATCACCACGGCACTCCTCGTGCACAGAGCGTAGAAACCAACTGATCTCGATCAGCTCGGATGGCCTTGGCACAACATGGTAATTGCTTGGATCTCGAGTCCATCAGTTGATTGCTGTTTGCATCGTGTGGCCACTCCCACGGGGATTCTCTGCGTTGACTGCCATCCTTCGTTCGCCCTCTTAGACGTGCGGTACGTTCGCCTCACACCGCGTCCAGCCGTCGTCCGCCACCCCAACCGCAGCCCCTGACGACCACCGGGCGATGGAGCACGGGCTCACACATCGGGAGAGCCGCGCCTCAAGCGGATGCCCCAATCATCCAAGAAGGCATGGAACGCCTAGGAGGGACGTGCAGAATGGTGCCGTGCGCATGCGGGTGCGTGCGGGACGTCCACGGGGCCTTTGTTCGCTTATATAAGCCTCCACATCCCACGACACGTGAGGCATTTCAAGCAGTATAATCGTTGGGGGTTGCCCTTTGGTGAATGTAGTTTTATAATATGAGACCCGCTACCGCTCGGTGATTTCTCTCGGCTGCCAGGGTTCGTGAGAACAAACATCGATGTACACTACACGCACTATAATGATATATGTTTCAGGTATCTGGTTTTGAGAGACGTTGGCCCCCTTTGACTCGGTTTCAGCCGCGGTGCCCTTCATACCACGAGGCCCACATGAAACAGCTTTTGGGCCCCCAAAATGATCCAAAAGGCGTGGAATGCGTGGAATGCTTGAGTCCAATGCCCAAACATCGCGCCATGGCATGGACAGTCCGCAAGTCGCCCTAAGTCGTCATACCGCAGACATGATCACTCAAGCATTCCTTCATGCAACTAGCGGCCATCGGCCCCTCGCGCTGAAGGATCTTCTGCAGCTCTCGGCGGGCGAAGGAGGGCGGAGGATTGGCGGCCACCATGACGCCCACACTTTCCTCAGATCTTGGGAAGCGTCGATACCCTACCTGCGCCTTCCTACCTTCCGGCGAAGCCTTTGGCACCGGGATGGTTCTGTGCCACAATCTCAACTTGTGCATAGTAACAGTGGATGATGATGGTTAGCAAAGGCCGTTCTCAAAAATGGTAGTAATAATATGTAACATCTGCCAGGAGTCACAAAGGGGTGGTGTTTAGTCCCTAAGTGAGTGGATAATGGGCACCCTTAACCTCCATTAAGCACCCCTTTGTGACTGCTGGTGTATAATCCTTGATCAACCGTTGCGGGTCATGGGCTACCCGATATATATCTCAACTATCACTTGCCTCAGTTGCCTCCAAGCGTTTCCAAAACCGGTTCAAAGAGTTGCTTCCGGGTCTGCTGGTCTCTTTAAAATCATGTCCTTTGGTCTGCAATCATTTGAAGGTGCATTGTCAACATTTCACCATATTCTTACAATGAGTACGCCACCCCTTTGAATCCCTTAAATTTACACCTGCTGGTTTAAACACCCCCGGGGTTCAACGATCCATGTTTGAGTGTGGGGCGTTGAGGTTCTTGGAGCCAGGTGGTGATGCGATGGAGCCAGGCAAGCATTGTGCAGTGCTCAACTTGGCGCAGGTCGGCTTTTGGTCCAGTATATTTTTGGGGGAGGGGGATGCCCCCAAAACTCCAGAGGCCCCCCCCCCCAAGATCCACGGCCACATGGGGTGCCCCCTCTTGGGCCACATGGACCCACTCCACTCGTGGGCCCCAAGAGGCGAAGGCACAGCGCAGGGCGGCCACACGAAGGCCCAGGAAGACCTCGGGTGCGGTGCTTTCGAGGTCTGGGACTATCGCCTGGGCTCCCGTACCGAAGCTGATGAGGTGGATGCCAGGTCCAGTGAGACTCAGAAGGTGGAGGTACTTGGAGCCCGGAGCTCTGACTCTAGGGTGTTTATATGTACACATGTGTATGTATATATATATATAGTAGACTCTTTAGAAGAAGAAAACATAAGAAAAGCCCTCCAAACATGGATGAGTAAAAGCATCTTATGGATCTTATAGTAAGTATGGATATTATCATGATAAGTATGGTAGTTTTGAATCATTCGAGTCGACATTAAGTGTCGCTATATATATATAGAGAGAGAGAGAGTAGTTCGTTCCTCTTAGTTCCAATTGGAAGGGAAAGAATTCCAGAGTCCCACACCTACAACCAAAGACATCCAACAAAATGCGCGCCTCGTCAGCTTGGTTGCTCCTGGCCAGTGCCCGGTCGGCGGCGCTGAGCTGCGTCCGGGGCAGCACTGAGTGGTCGTTGGGCAAGAAACAAATGCTGTAGTCCTTGGTGCAACGCTTTCATGCCCCTCGTGGAGGGTTGGGAGATGTCGGAAGAAGAGGTCCAAAAAGGTACGTTGCAAGATTGTTGAAGCTTTTGGAGCAAACACGCCCCCAAAAAAAAGACTTCTCCAAAAAAGAAGGCCTCCGGCCTCGGGTGACTGCATGGCCGGACGAACCTCCCCCAAACATTTCTTCTGGTCATCGCCCGAAAAACTACCCACCCCCCAAACCGAAACGCTTACACCCCGGTGACACCCCAAAGCAGCACGGTCCCCGCTCCAAACCAAAAAAAACAAAAGAAATGGTGGAAGAAACCACACCCAAACCCGACCGACCTTAAAACCGCCACCAACCCAGCGACCCAAGCTCCCCACGGAGCGTGCGACTCCCCGTCCCACCAGGCCTCAGCACCAGCTTCCTCTCCCAGCCAAGCGTTGGGGCACAGGATCGCCAGCGCCGCCGTGGGCGGCGAAGTGGGCTCCATGGTGGGGTGCGGCCAGTGGGTGGCTCCAGAGCGGGCCAGGCGGGCGGATTGATGTGGAGGGTGCGTGGGGTGGGGTGCATGTGATGTGTGGGGCACCTGCTTCGTGCATTGTGTTGCCTTCCTTCATGGCGCAGAACTACGACCTGTTTTCACCGAGACCTACACAGACCGGGTGGCCGAGTTTGAGGAAAAAATCTCAGGTCTGCAACACGGGGGCTTCACTCATTTAAGTGTGCAACTCTGGGGGATGTGAATCTGAATGGCACAGTAAAAACGAGTGGGATAATCATTCACTGTTTGGGTATTGAGTGCTTCCATCTTGCTAGGCACATCGTAAATGGACATTCTTGCTCGAAACCCCCGTGTTTCAAAATCTCGCTTGACAGCCAACTGACAATTGTGCGTCTCATTGATTCAAGGAGCGTTGGTCTTTCCCCTTTGCCGTTTCCACTGTTGGTCTTGTGCTTGCTCTTGTTCGAAGCTTCTCCAACAAGCAGCACCTCGCGGCTCTTTCCTGTGGCGCCCTTTTTGCGCATCCAACTGCATATCACCCACTTGTGTAACTTGTGTAATGCAAAATGATTGCAAGTCAACGAAATTCCATCCCAGCTCTTCCCGCCGCTTGAGAGCATTTCATGTTCGCCCCAAGGCATCAAGTTGGTGCAACGGTGGCATTTTGCACACGGGATGCCGGTTGTAAGTTGTACCCCATGCTGGACACTGCGCATGAGTCCTTGGGATGATCGGATTAGATCGGATGAGTCATTCCAGGTCCAGGATCTTGAAACCACAAATGTTTGAAATCACGACCTGAGTCATTGGTATGATCGATGATATTCATCCCAGGCCTAAGAATGCACATCAAAGAATGTTTAACGCCAATGACCCATGAGCACTTGCACACCACGGAGAAGCTTTAATCCAACACACGGAGGTTCAAGCAGAAGAAAGGTCATAAGGGTGTGGAAAGGAACTCATATCAATATATGACCCCCAAAGAAAATTCACGCAAATTCCATACAAATTGCTTCATCTTGATCAAACATGACATGAACTTTTAGATTTATACATAAATTATCAACCCGATGCTACATTGCTGGGTATGTTGAGACACCTCCATTTAGATGAACTTTGCTGACATGAAATGGATCGCACAAGTATTACTAGTTCAGAATCAAGGGGGTGTGATTTAGGACAAGCCGATTTGGTCACCGACCTCTTGTGTTCCAAAATGGAAGACTTTGAAAAAGAGGGCATCTTTTCAAGGTCTACATGTCTTTGGAGGCAACGCGCCCGCCTGCCGTTCTCAGCGCGCGCATCGAGAAACCGCTGAGGACGGCGAGAATCCCATCCACCGGCCGCGGCAGGGGGGGGAACAGCGGACCTGCTTCACCGGCTTCGCGGCGTTCACCGCGGGCGTGCCCGGGCCGATGAGGCCTGGCGTGCGTGGCGTGTGAGCGGCGTGGAGGAACGAGGAAGACTCTGGTGCCAGACTCTGGTGCGACTTAGGTGCTTGGAGGAGGTCTTGAAGCTGGAGGTCCGTGACAATCCATCTACCCAAGACGTGACCAATACCCTATGATAGGGCAGCAAAAACACGAAAAGCACAAGAAGAATCAAAAAAAAAACACAAAAAATGAACGATGCGTGACCTGCCATCACCGGGTTTCCTTCCACGCTCGTCCTGTCCAAAACTCCTCTCAACCCCATGGAATTCCCCACGCGACCGCGACCGCTCCTGACCAGCCGCACTCGTCCGCCGGGCCTATGAGGCATCCCACGCGCGGGATGTGAGGCCCTAAGGTGTAGAGTGACTCCCGGAGGGCTGGGATGTCCTGGCCGGGCAACCCTGGCGGGGCGCTGCGACGACATGGGTAGAGGTGGAGTGGCCCGGAAGACCATGGCTAGGGGGTGTTGGTTAGTCCGGGCGGGTGATCCAGTTTCTCGACCACGTCAGACGCGTCCAAAAAAGGGAACAAGAAAACACACACACCAGGAGTGCCGCGTCGCTGTGTTCCTGGAGGGTGTACTAGGATCATCCTGTCTGGGTGTCCTGGCTAGACTACCCTCCCTATACTTATAGGTCTCCAGACAGGGCACCATTGGAAGTGCTAGGTATGAACATGTGTAAATGGGGGTTGTTCAAAAGTCCTTTCATTTTTTTCCAGGCCTTTCGCAGGACCTTCGCGAAGCTTTCGCAAGCTTTCGCGCGTGGGGTTTTACCACTGTCGGCGAAAATGGTTTTTCGTTGGGGCTAGAGGCTTTCAAGGATTGCTGCAGTTGCCCTGGCACGTCTTGTGTCCTCTGATCACTGACACATTGATTGCTGAGGAACAGGAAGCCAGCCAACCAAGCAGTTTTCATGTTGGTGTGTTTTTGGTTGGGCACAACCCTCCATGAACAAGAGACGGCTCAGTCAGGCCAGTTTGCTCAGACTTCCAATTTGCTTTTTCCCGGGCCGGGAAAAAGCAAAATGGTTCAGACTTCGAATTTGCTTTTTCTGGGGCCGGGAAAAAGCAAAATGGTTCAGACTTCCAATTTGCTTTTTCCC